GTCACCCTGGGGGTTCCCAAAGCAAACAGCTTTGTTCTCTTCTCTTCTTTTGCTTTCCTTTTCTTTCTGCTGAGGGGACAGGGACGTATGTCCTGGCCCTTGCATGGGCCTCCTCGCTGTCCCCGATGCTTCGGGTGCCAAGGAAGGAGGAACAGTTCATTTTTCAAATTGTCCCAGTTTTCATGATGAAGCAGGAATGGATGTGGAGATGGTCATGCTCGACCCAAAACAAACCGGGCAGCACAAAGGTTGCTAACGCAATAAACACAGTTCTCTGTAACTGTTTCTGTGTCTGGCGGTGTTGACTGTTTGGCTTGAACCACAGAAAGCAAGAGCTCCTTGTAGTAAAGACAACTACCCATCCATTTTTAAATTTTTTTTTTTTTTTTTTTCACTATGCCTGGTAGCATTAGCGTTAGGTTTCCCATTCATCACCTCAGTCCATTTTAGGTTGTAGCATCCAGCATTTGTCAAAGGTTGCCAACATTTGTGGACTGTGCATGGTCAGTCGAAACAAAATCCAGAAATCATATTACAAGGAAAATGTGCTTTGCCTATGGTGTATGGCGTCATCTATTTGCTGCCTTTGTTGATAAAGGTAATGCTAAATGCTTGTAATAAGAATGCTGGTTAATTACCGGAGCATGTCTGGCTGTCTGTCTGTCCATCCATCCATCCTTCTGACTGAGTTTTACTAGGATTTCTTGGCAGATGAGTAGACTTTTACTCACTGAATTACTTTAATGGTTATTCTTCAACAGTTGGATTTACAAAAAGGTAGGCTAAAAAGATGGCAAATCCTGCGTGTTTGTTTTCAACTCAACAGGCCACTGTTGGCATCATTATGATAGTAGAAGATACAAAGGTTCATTTAGCCCATTTATTTCCCTTATTCTCCCACTTCCAAACCACAGCTCATGAATCATGCGGAATAGATTCTAATACGTAGCTTTTACACCAGTGCTACATCTGAGTGAAACTGCATCCTCCTAGACACCACAAAGTTACACAGCGCTGTTTGGCCTTGTAGTTGGTATTGTCTCATGGATACTGATTGGGGAAAAATAGTAAACTATTATCAAAATGCACGGTGGCTGATAGGTTTGCTTCTGCATGTGTCGTACTCAGCGTGCTCTCTTCCATGTATTTGGAAGTAGTTTTGTTTCCCCAGCCTCTGAATTGGAGGAAGTGAATCATGTTTTTTAACTATGTCTCTTCAAGCAGCTCTTCCAAAAGGAGGCGCTGTACAGTCGTTTACAGAAAAGAATGGCTTTTTACATGTGGAGCCTTGGGCATGCAGTCAGCAAAAAAGTTCATAAACATGACACGCCAGCCTACAGCAGCCTGTTTTGTGCTGCTGCTTGTGTTTCAGGAAAAAATTGTTAAGTATCACTGCAGTTGTATTGATTTTTCCTTTGGCCTGCACTTATGGGTATGTGAAAAATCAAGTTGTGTGCAGTAGAATCCATCTGTCTATCTATATATATGCTTGGAATATTTTTAAGCATATTGGCACTAAACACTTTCTTTTTCAGGATGTGACTTGTCCTTTCCTGGCAACAAGCTGGTGTCTGGAGATCACTGTAAAATCATAGTGGATGAAGAATCTGGTCAAGTATCACTGGAGGATACCAGGTTAGCTCTGCTTTGTACTCCTGTTGTTGCTTATTTTCAGTCTAGTTTATTTCTGTGCAGTGGATGTGAGAAGGGGTGGGTGTACTTGCCTGAGAACAATTGATAAGTTTCTAGGCATTAATTTTTTTTTCGGTACTTCTTAAAATATATCTGTCCTCCCCCATGGAGTGCCAGGCTTACTGGATGAAACACACTCCTGATGGGGTGTGGAGGGTTGTTTTATAAAACATTTCTCTGGCTGTGAATCTGCCATGAAAACATTTCAGAAAAAACAATCAGTGATTTTTAGGAGTCCTGTAAAGCAGCTGCATGGTGAATCAGTTAAAGTAACGTGTGCATTTCTCTCTCCCTCCCTGCCTTCCATTTGTACTTCAGGATGTTTTCTGGGGGAGGAGAAAATGCAGCTGCAGTGATGTGCCTCCCCCCCTCCCCATGTAAAATGGATGTGAAGTAAAGATTCTTATGTATTGTTCCTGTTGGTGTTCAAAGTATTATGGCAGCTATCTTGTATTCCAGAGGTACTGTAGGTTCTCAAACAGTTGCTATGGGAATAAGCTTGGTATAAATCCTTAGATCTGTTTTATTGAATTTTTAAATTGTTTCCTGGCATTTCAGGGGAGAAGAGAGAGAGAGGCTTAAAAATAAAACAACGTTCTTGCTGTTGATGCTTCTGTTAGAGGTTGTTTTTTCTTTTTACCAGGACATTTTTGTAGTCGTTCTCTCTGATTAGTATTTCTGCTTGAACATTATGTCAATACATGAGAACTAAGGCCTTGATGCTGCAAAGGCTTATGGATCTGCCTTACTCAGTTTACCTTCAGCAGTCCCAGTGAAGCTAATAGGACTTTGTGTGATGCATAAAGTTGAGTTTGGGAGTCTTTGCAGGATCAGGGCCAATGAACTTGCACTTGTAGGCGAGGTCGCTTCCTGTTGAGTAATGAGCTCAGTGAGAGCTTAAATAACTCAACATGTGTTGTAGGAGGGCTTCAACAGGCTTTATTTTTTTTCCAAATTAATTTATAAAGATAGAGAAAAAGGAGTTTGTGTGAAATGTTTTTTTGGTAAGGAGGTTATAACTCTTATCTAATTTCAATGGTGTAGTTTTGACTGGTTGCTTGTCTGGGTTTGGCAGAGAGCTCCTGGTTTACTACAATTCAAGAGTTTCTAGAACACTTGTAATTTTAGAGGAACCTGCTTTCTTTTGTTGGCAGGTTATTGCATCCCTTCAATGGGGATATGTGCATCTCTACTAGCTAGGAGGCACCTTCATGTAAATGCAAGACTGACAACCAAACAGGGAAATTCCAGATGCATATTCACATGTACAGAATAAATTTAATTATTGTGGGCTTTAGGGATATAGTGTTAAATCTTCTGTTGTTTCTCACTTGATCGCATCAGAATATGGTTAAATATGGTGTTCTGGAAGTTCAGGATAAGTAGTAAACACCAGCTAGGCTTTGGATCAAACCTGTGAATGTGTTCTGAAAACCCCTTTAAACCCCACTTACTTTAGTGGGTGCATGCCCTTTTTTGCCTGTGGCAGGAAGGATGAGCCTAGCTGCCAATTTTGCTTAGATCAAATTTAATTTCCCTATTCATTGTCTCATACACCTGATCAGAGTTGATAGATGTGTACTGGTCCTGTGGTTTTTATGCCAAAACTCACTTTGACATTTACTTAACATGCATTCCTTTTTCTTCTTTTGTGTCATAAGGCTGCTCCTATAGACTAATAACCGCCCCATATTAATTTTTTTTAATGTCATGATTTTTAATCAAATTTCATGATTTTTGTTTGTTTCTCTGAGGGGCTGACTCACAATTTTTGAATGCTTGAGTTAGCAATTTTAGTGCCCAGAGCCCTAGAAGAAGTACTTCAGTGTCTGATTTTTTTCTGCTGTAAAGTGGAAAGCAGGTCTGGAAAAAATGCTGTGGTCAAGCTCACATGTTCCTGTTGAAAAGGAATGCATTTAAGGAGGCAGCTGGGTTGAGGTAGTTGAACTGGGTGGACTCTGTTCCTGTTTTGCAGCTAAATAAATAAGAAAAATAATAATAATTAAACAAAAATGTTATAATATCCAGCCCTGGCTCCTCATCAATTTGTTGGCATGCTGAGTTACCGGAGACGAGGCAATGCTGACCCGTATTGGAAATAAATCAGATTTCTTCTCACCCCAAGGTGATGAGTTGAGAACTGTAGAAACTACTTGAATAAACAGAACTTGCAAATGGTCTGGGAGTAACAGGGAACAAGGGTTGATTGCTAGCTTTGGCACGGTAAAATGTTTCATGAGCAGTCTCCTTTCTCTGCTCCCTGCCTCCCCTCCAAAGTCCCTTGGTTAATTTCTTGCTATTGTCTAGAAGAAACTGTATTCTAATGATGAATAATCAGTTATGTTCATGAAGTAGCTGGCTTGTCCCTAGTACAAGCAGCAAAAGTAGTTTTTTTATTGAACGAAATAAATGCAACGATAGTAATGGAAGGACATTTCTAAATAATCTCTCCTCATTTTCCATTGGTTGGTTGTTAGTGTGTAGGCTTGCATTAAATGGCTGGATTACCTTCCTAAGCTTAGGTTTGGTTTTCCTATAGCAAGGGAAGGCAGGCTGATCTGATAGTATGGTATGGCTGGGACTACTGCTACTTGTATCACAACCTTTATGTGGATAAACTGGGCACTGATCTCCAATGTGCATGAATAATAGCATCTTTCATGAACACTGAATTTGCCTCAGTACATCAGAGAAATTCTGCCTGGGTAAAGCTAAAAGAATGGAAACTAGCTTCATCAGAAAGGGACTTCTGTGTTAATTTGAAATCAAAACTTCAATTTCAAGTGCAAGATACAGTTTATCCAAGAGATGATGCACTTGTGCTGTGCTTAAGAAGCATATCTAATGCGAGTATTTCCTGGATGTAAATATTTTTTCCCTTGGGTGGATGCGAGTAATTATAAATAATAGCTTCATGCTTACCTTGTAACTCCTTTCCCTAGGAAGCATATCAAATTATTTTACAAAATAGAGACTAAGATAGGAAGTGACTAACCAATTACATAAACAAATGAGCCTGTAGAAAAACTTGGGTAGACTACATAATTAACCAAAGTGGAATTGGCCTGGGCTACAGGGATTTATACGTCTGCTCTTAGGAAAATTAACATGGGACCTTTTGTGACCTTGTCTTACTTTTGCAGATTTGTACTAGTGATGACAGAGCTTCTTTCTCTTCCTTGTCTAGAAAAATACAGTATGGCAGCATTAATTTAGTGCTGACTCTCAAGGACTGGCCTTCAAATTTGGGGGTCATGGTAGACTTTCTGTTTGACTTTAGTGACATTGTATTCAGGTCTGTGATATTTGGGGAATGTGCGATATAGATATAGAGGGAGAGAATACAGCTGTCTGTCTGTCTGTCTGTCTGTCTGTCTGTCTGTCTGTCTGTCTGTCTGTCTGTCTGTCTGTCTGTCTGTCTGTCTGTCTGTCTGTCTGTCTGTCATAATAATTATAGAATATAATTCCCTATTTTCAGCTATTTCCCTGTTTTAATGAAAAATATCCAGTTAGTGATAGCCAATGGAGTGCCTGGTTAGCGCTGGTTACTAGCAATGACTGAAAGAATGCTCCATCTGCTTAGCCACATGTTGCCTTCCAGTTTGATTATTAGCTAGGGCAGTGGTGCTCAACCTTTTTAGAGTTAGGGCACCCTTCCCACATTTTTTGAATTTGGTGGCACCCTGCCAGCTGGGAACCACTGTTATACCACCTCAGTTTACTGCAGTGGTTCTCAACCGGGTGACACTGCTGTGATGAGGTAAAAGTTCCTCAAATGTCTTGTACCCAAGCAGACTGGGAAGGGCTGTGATATGCTTGCGCTCCTCCTGCATTAGGGTACTCCAATAATCCAAGAGCGGGCACTAGAGCCTGATGGTTTGTACCGTGGCAGCCCTTCCATCCTCATCTCTGTTTCCAGGAGACTCTGAAGTGTTGGATTGGGAACTGTCCTGCGTGCCTCTGTTACTGGGAGATGCTGTGCAGGGTCAGACTGGGAAGGGCTGCAGCACAAGCTGGCTCTGTTGCCTGATTTAGGCTTATTGGAGAACCCTAATGCAGAAGGAGTGTGCATGTGCTTCAGTCCTTCTTGATCAGGCTATGGACTGAGGCGTGCAGTGCGCACTTACCTGGCAGGAGTGGTAGCACCCGGGGAATGGTGCGGGGAGGTGTTCATGGCTCTCTGGGGTGCCACAGATTCCTGGTTGAGCACCACTGTGTGAGGTTCTAATTCTGACCATGTTCAGTTTTCTTTGAGGTCTGGCAACATCTTGGAAGCTTTTAGAATTCTTCATTTTATGACTACGAGCTTTAATATTTTTACTGTGACATGAAGTTGAATCAAAGACTTAGGATTTTTCCTTGATTTAAAATGTTATGTAGCTATCTATTTAACGTACCCAAATGTTAAGAAAATCAAGCAAGGGAGTTTTCAATAGTCTGGGTAAAAATCCCTTCTCTGCACTGTTCAGTGTTCATCTGTTTTGACCAGGGGCGTGCAACTGTTTGGGTCTGCAGGCCACATAGGGAGTTTTGCTGAACTGTTGCGGGCCAGGTTGGCACCCTTTTCCCTCCTCCCCCACACAACTCAACAAAACTTGCTATGTGGAATGGGGCTGGGAGCAGTGTTCAGTAGTGGGATGGGGCAGTTGAGGCCAGGATCATGGGGCAGAGTCACAGGGTGCTGACAGCATGGGACAAGGGCCCAGGGCTGAGCTGTGATCCACAGCCTGCACGGCCCTGCAGTGGGTGTGGGTTCTGCAGACAAGGGTACTTGGGGAGTGGACCACAGCTTTGCCCAGGCCTTGGACACTGTCAGTGCCCCAACGTCCTGGCCCTGGGTGTAGCTTCCCTGCTCACATGGGTCCTGGCCAGTTTCCATGGAGACCCTGGTATTGTGGGGCTGGGGCAAAGCTGTGATGCACTCCCTGTATGTCCCTGCCTGC